CATATATAAAAAAAATTTATTGTGTAGTCAAAATTTGAGTTTTAAATTTGAAAGCCAAATAAATAATTATTCATAACCTACGGGTCAATATTAACTTGAACGTAAATGAAATAGTTTATTATTTATGGTTTAATAAATTACTCAACTACTTAGTTTTTTTGATTTGGATAGTTATACAAAAATAAATTTATTTTAATCAACTAAAAAATATAAGTTTTATAATTATACTTATTATATATATATATATATATATATATATATATTTAAATATATGATTAAATTTTACCAAAAATTTTCTTATGGAATCACATTGTAGCCAAATCGAATATAAAAATAAAAAAAAAAAAAGTTAAAATGACACTTGTTTGGAAATGAATATAATATAATTTATTATCAATTAGTGCACCGTACAAGTTGTGTAGTAATTTAAATAGACATGTTTTATGTAATTTTGCACAATTTAAATTTCATATACCATTTTCAATAAATTAATATACGTAAATTATATTACATACTAATTCTATATTTTCTATTTACAAATATTATTTAATGAGTATCTTTAATTTATAAATTTTAATACATATTTCTTACCCGTGCGTCGCAAGAGATTCATACTAGTTCATTTACATATGTCATAAATTTGTAAATACTTATATATATAGTCACTATTTTTATAATTAAACATATTAAAGAAAACACCAAATATAATTAAACGGTTGGAGCATAAATAATATAAAAATTTAATGAATAAAAAAAAATATATAATTTATATTCCACAATTCTTCTTTTACATAATTTGCATAGTTGATAAAAATAAGAATCGTAGAATCATGTATCATACATTGATATAGCCTAGTGGTGGTGTTACCACTTTAACATGCAAGAGGTCTTGAGTTCAAGCCCTGGTGTTGTGAGAATTGAGAGAATTTAGTAAGGATTATATTGGTGGATGGTCATGGGCTTATTGTGAGCCATGTGGTTCAAGGTGAGTCAGGTGGTTGTATAGCCTTCAAGTTGGATCAACAATTTTTATTGTTAAAAAACCGTTGGTAATCCGTTAGAAAAATTCTGTTAGTATTCTATTGGGAAAAATATCTATTGTTAATCTGTTGGGAAAAAAAATCCTTGGTAATCCATTGGGAAAAATATCCGTTGGCAATCCATTGGAAAAATTCCATTGAGAATCCGTTGGGAAATTTTCGTTAGCAATCCGTTGGGAAAAATATTCTGTTGGCAATCCGTTGTCAAAATTTTGTTGGTAATCCATTGAGAAAAATTTGTTGGTAATCTATTGGTGTATTCGTAACTAATATGTTGGCTTTCTGTTAGTAATTTGCCAACAGAATAATTTAGCAACTCCATTTTCTATTGAGAATCCCTTAGCAATCTCATGAAACATTTTCGTTGCAAATTTTTTGGTAATCCGTTGGAAATTTTCTCAATGGATTGTATTTTCCGTTGGCAAAAGTTAGTAACAAGGCACATAGCAACAAGAAAATCTGTTGGTAAACCGTTGGCATTCCGTTGGGAAATTTGATTAGCAACAGATTATTCCGTTGGTAAAACTCATATTTCTTGTAGTGTTTACTTAATGGAAGTTGTCCATCTTGTCATCTTTGGCGTACAATAGGTTTATACCATCATCACACAGTTCCATAAAAGCACAGATTCTTTCATAGATCACTGGAACTCTTAGAGTGGTATGAAACTAATGTGAAGTGTTGACGGCTCAACTGCAAGTTCATCATTACATTATTTTGCATTCCTTTCGTCGAAATTGAGTTAGAATTCAGATGATAAGTAAGTATGTATAAGTGTTCTTTTGTTTGTGCTATTGCAGTCGTAATTTAGATTTCAAATCATAATACATAATAAAGAATATTGACGTGACATCACAGTCGTACATGTCTTTAATGTTTCAACATCAACTTTATTTCGGCCAATGATACCATGTCAATATTCTTCATTATATATTATGATTTGAACTTTAAATTTCGTCGAGAACACTTATACATACGTACTTATCTTTAGAATACTTTCTCAATTTCGATGAAAGAAAAGCAAAATAATGTAATGTTAAACTTTCAGTTAAGTCATCAGCACTTGACATTAGTTTCATACCATATCTAACAGTTCCAATGATATGTGAAAAAAATTGTACCCATATAGAACTGTGTGATGATGGTATAAACATCTTGTACACCAAAGATGATAACATGGACAACTTCCATTAAGTAAGTGCTTTAGGCACTAAAAATTAAGATGCGATATTACTCGGGACTGTGTATTGGAGTCAGATTACATGATGACGCTGATGAAATCCAACATACTGATAAATTAACTTATGTAAGGTTTTCGAAGGTGGATGAAAAGTTTTCGAAGCTTCAGTAGACAAATACGGACTTGAGCTTAATTGACATTTAATAAATATCCGAGGATATAGTCAATTAAGGTGCCTATGTATCCCTTATATGGGGAATCAAAGTCAACGTAGTTCTTTTAGTTATATCTCGAATATTAGACATGTGTTTTTTTAACTTGAAGGTCATGATATCTCGAATAAGGCATTTGTTTTTTAAAGCAATAACATCAATTACGCCAATGATGTTAGGCCCACAATCTCCATTGCGTATCATGTTTCCAACTCTCTCATACGCCTATAATAGAGCAATATAGATAAACTATATAGAGACTAACATCAGCAAACTTCAAGTATTGAAGAATATGTATGTCGGTCTGTTTTATCGCTTTATATATTGCGATATTGTAGGCGTATAAGAGAGTTGGAACCATGATACACAATGGAGATTGTAGGTCTGACATCATTGGCGAAATTGATGTTATAACTTAAATTTTTTTAATAAAAGACCGTAGCATTCTTATAGTGTTGCATGACATATGAACAGTTAAGGGCGTCGTTAACAATGCTAATTTTGACTCTCTGTTATAGAATATCCTTCAGAAATTTAAGCAATAATGTCAATCACGCCAATGATGCCACGCCCACAAACTCCCACTGTGAATCTGCTTCTCACTCTCTCATACGCCTACAATATAGCAATGTAGAGAAAGTAGACAGAGACTACCATCAAAAAACTTCAAATATTGAAGATTCTGTATGCTGGTCTGTGTCATGACTCTCTAAAAGCTCTATTGTAAGCGGATAAGAGAGTGGGTAACAGATCTACAATGGTAGTTTGT